ATAGAGCGGTATGTGTACGCACGCTCCCAGACCGACCCAATCTCGTTCACCCCAGAAGAAGTGATCCACTACAAGCTGTACCCAAGCCCGCATAGCACGATCGAGGGCATCGGCGCTTTGTACGGTGTGCTCCCCCATGCGGATCTGTTGCAGGACAGCTTGCTGCACGATATCACAATGGCTAAGAACGGGATGCACCCGGATGGTATCTGGATGCTCCCTGAAAGCACCACGCCCAAAGAGTCCGAGAAGTTTGAGAAGCGGCTGAAATCGAAGTTCAGGGGCGCTAAAGACTGGTGGAAGCATCTGGTATTCACCGGCAAGGTCGAGTTCGTATCTCCACAGATTCCCGAAAAAGAGCTGATGAGCCTACCAAAGCAAGAGGCGGCGGCAAAGCTGATCCGTCAAGCGTTCGGGCACACTGAATCAATGGCCGATTCGACGGACACCAATGTGGCCTCGGCGCTTCAATCGTACGATAAGCAGTATTTGGGCAACACGATCTGGCCTGCGCTGATTAACGACGCGGCATTTAAGGGTCAATACCTGCTTGGAATGTTCGGCCTCGATCCCGATGTGTACTGCTTCGCGTACGATAACCCTGTCGAGCGTGATCAGGGTATCTTCGAGGATCGCATGGAAGTATCCACAACCCGCGGTATTCGCACGATCAACGAGGCACGCGCTGAGATGGGTCTCCCCGAGTCGGACGATGAGTTTGCAGACACCCTGCTGATCAACGGCCAACCACTCGGCGCTGTTGCCGCACCCGCTGACCCGTTCGCGGGATTGTTCGGTGGTGCGCCTCGATCGCCTGAGAGGGCCGAGGAACCCGATACGACTGTTGACACACCCGAACCCGTCGAAGAGGAAACGGGAGAGGATGAGGCGGTGCAGGAACGATCATGGGGCGATAGTCTCGCGTCGATCGTCAAATCAACCGAGCGCTCAATCTGGCAGGATTGCGATTGCACCCACACGAAAGCCGTTGAGGACGACCCGATCCTAGACGAAGCGTTTGAGCGGTTCGGGCCTGATATCCAGCGGGTCATGGCTGACATTCTCACAGACGCACAGGATATCTCAATGACGGCGTACGCTGCGGGCAACCAACCCGCGTTGGACGAGCTGAGTTCACAGGCGGCGGGGTTGCTCAATGAGTCAATGGCCGATGTGTTTGTCTACGGTGTGGACGAGATGGCGCAGGAGATCGCGGACAACCCGAGCGGGCCTGAGATCCCCGATGCGTTCAGCATTCCCGATGCGGCTGCGAGAGAGTTCCTTGAGACCTACACGATCGAACTTGCCGACGACCTGATGGGCACAACGGCTGATATGTCACAGCGTGCGGTTGAGGCGGGATTTGATCAGGGTTTGAGCATCGACCAGATCGCGGAGTCCATGGAGGGCATCCCCGAGAACCGGGCAACGATGATTGCTCGTACTGAGGTTCAGCGTGCGGTTCAGAACGGCAAGCGCCAGACGATGAAAGAGGTTGGGATTGAGCTGGTGGAGTGGGTGAACGCTCCGGGCGCTTCTCAGGCTCACCAGTTGATTGCGGCTCGATCACCTAAGCCGATCGACGAACCGTTTGTGAAGGCGGGCGAGACGCTTGCGGGCGAGACATTCGATCGAGATGTGTATGTTCCACCGGCACGACCGAACTGTAGATGTTCAGTTTTGCCGGTTTACGATTAATAAAAGGGGTTTTAAATGACTTGTATTGCAGGATTGATTCATGAGGGTGAAGTGTGGTTGGCGAGTGATACGCAAACCACATCTGGGTGGGTGAAAAAACCAACTGAAAGAAAAATCGTTGAGCACGGCGATTGGGCGGTTGCCACATGCGGGTATGCGGCGGTTGGTTCAGCATATGAGGATCGCCTTAGTCTGCCTGATGTACCCGAGGACGAGTCTAAGCACGACAAGTGGTTGCGGGTGAGCGTTATTGACGCGATGAAAAAATCGCTTCGTGACGCGGGCTTGCTGGAAAACGACAAATCGGTAGAGAGTTCAAGCTCTGGTTCAATCATTGCTTGGCGAGGCAAGCTCATGACAGTTGATTCTGTTTTCGGCTGTCAGAGAGTAACCACTGAGTTCACAGCGATGGGTTCCGGTGGCGAGGTCGCTCTCGGCTCACTGTTCAGCACCGAGGGCCAACCCCCCGAGGTTCGTTTAAGAATGGCAATCAATGCGGCTTGCACATGGTCGGTCGGGTGCGGGTGTGAAGTGAAGATCGTTAAAGTAGGCGGGGTGGTTAAAAAGGACTGAAACCATGAAATCAACATCACTCATCGACCGTATCAAATCCAATCACGGCCTATCCGACGATGATCGGGTCGGGGTCGTTTCGTCATTCGGCAAGGGTGCGGAAGTCGATGTAAAGGCTGACACGCGGGATATCGTCGTTACGGCCAACACTGGGGATATTGATCTCGATACGGAGGTCGTTGTACCTTCGGGCGCTGACACTTCGTACTTCATGGCTAATCGTCATGTGTTCGCGGATCACAAGTATGAGATTGCGGACGGTGCGGGCAAGATGCGTTCCCTGTCCCCCTACCCATCCCGCGACGATCACCGATCTTGGAAGATGCGGGTGCGTATCAACGACAACCCGATCGGCAACGCGATCATGAAAATCGTCGAAGAAACGGGACAAATCGGCGTTTCGGTGGGTTTCGTGGCGACCAACTACGGGCCGCCTACGGACGAAGAAATCAAGAAGTACGCACCCAACGATCCGAGCCTGCTATCGGCGGTGATCCGGGCTTGGAAGTGGTTTGAGACTTCATTCACGCTCTTACCCTGTAATGTGGCGTGTCAGTCGTCCGGTGTCACCGAGGGTAAGTCTCTGGACATGCTGGACGCCGTGGATCGGATGGTTACGAAGGGGGTGATTAAGCGTGATATTGCGGCTGCTCTGGGTATGCCGATCGCTGAGAAGCGCAAGGTTTTCGTAGTGCCTGAACCGAGGATGAAAAAGATCGTGTACCCTGATGGTGGGGTGGTTCGGGTTCGGGCTTGACTTGGTGGGGCGAATGGTTTAATGTGTCTAGCTGATAGCCTCTTTCGGTTGGGCAAATCACGAGAGGCGCTTGCCCGGGTTCGTCGAAGTAAAACACGGCGACTCCCCTTGATATTCAAAGTCCGTTGGCTTCCCTGACGCATTAACTCTGGAAGCATCTTGCCCAGCGCCGTGGAGCCTCCCATGCTGGGGAATAAATGGAGGCCTAGATGCGTCGTTGGCTAAATAGCTCAATGGTAGAGCGGTGGCTTTGTAAGCTACGGGTTGGGGGTTCGAGTCCTCTTTTAGCCTTTTATTACACCGTGGTGATGAACTGCGGCCCCAACGCCTTTCGGAGGCGTTTTTTTACGCACTTGACACAAGATGTAGTATGTGCAACAATACGGGCGCAATAGATTGGTTCTCCGTTGCGTGAGGTAGCTCCCCCCGGTTGATAAAACAGCCGTGGGGCATTTAAAAACTTGGCAGTGCCTTGTATTCATCGTCGGTTTTACCGGCCTGAGATTCGATCGTAACGCCTGAGTGTGGTTTCTATCACTTTACTTAGGAGACTCGTTATGAGTTGGAATCGTAAATCCCTGTTGAAAATGGGAAAAGAGAATGGGTTTGCTGGCAAGACTGCTGGCGAGTTCGCAGATTGGGCCGAGGAAAATCTGATTGAGATCAGAGATTCTGGCGGCGAGAAGCTTTCAAAAGAAGCACTTATCAAAGCCTTCAACAAGACCGTGACCATCACTGCCGACGCTGGCGAGGATGTACAGGTTGTTGACGCATCCGAGAAGTCTGAGGACGAGATCCTTGAGGACGAGGATGTGAAAGAGATGGACGACGACGAGGAGCAGCAGAAGCAGTTCCGGGCGTGGCAGAAGTCCAAGCAGCGTGAAAATCAGAAGCGTGCGAAGGGTCTAGCAGTTCACACGAAAGCTGGTGGCGCAATGGGCAACAACACCGATATGAAAAAGTCAGCGTACGATCGGGCGGTTAAAAACTCCCAGAAGATCGCAGGCAAAACCCCTCTGTTCTACAACGCTGATCGTCGTGAGTACTTCGGCGCGAAGGCTCGTCTTTCGTGTCTCGGATCGGTTGATTATTCGCAAAAGGATGCGGATATTGCGATTGTCCAGAAGGGTTCGGCGGGTGTCAACTCAACCGGCGGCGCTCTCGTGTTCTACGAAGAAGTCCCTGAGCTGATCGAGAACCTTGAGAACAACGGCGCGGCACGCACGGCGATCGGTGTCACCAGTATGCGTGACGGCGAGCGTACCGTGTCGAAGATTGACGGCGATGTGACGATGTACGATGTTGGTGAAGGCGCCCCAGTTACTTCGAGTGATCCGTCTTTGGGTAATGTCAAGCTCGTTGCAACCAAGACAGCGGCATTGATCAAAGAGTCGTCCGAGCTTCTCAACGATTCAGCGTTCAATATCGGTGAGATCCTTGCTCGATCAATCAACCGTGCTGTCGGTACTTGGGAAGATGAGTCGATATTCCTCGGCCAACACAACCGGCAGGGGATCACCGATATCCTGACTGCTGGCGGCACGAATGTTCAGGACGCGGCGCTTACTTCGTCGTGGAATGAGTTTACGATTGACGATCTCCAGGACATGCTCGGCCTCTTGCCTGCATGGGCGTTTGAAGATCCGAACTTCGGTTTCGTCTGTTCGCTCTCGTTTGTCCAGTCGGTATTCCACCGATTCGGCTTGAGCGCTGGCGGTAACTTGGGCGGTAACATTCAGGCCGGATTCGGCTCTGATCTCCGCTACAACGGGTTCCCGATCTATGTTTCACAGGTCATGCCGAAGACATACGCGGGCAATGCTCTCGTCTGTTACGCGGGCGCATGGTCGCATTCATGTAAGTTCGGTATCGTTTCAGGTTCCGAAGAAATGGCAACCAGTGATCAACGATACTTCGATCAAGATCAGGTTGCATTCCGTTACACCCAGCGATGGGCACACTCATTGCACACTGTGAACACCGACGCGCACGCATCGGGTATCGTGGCACTGCAAGACTAAGGAGCTTGAAATGATCGAGATTCAAAACATGAAAATCGTGGGTGCCGTTTCCCCTGTCGCTCTGGCGAACGGGTCGGCAACCGGTATTGAAGTGGACGCGCGAACATGGCACAACGCCCGATTCGTGTTCCATCAGGGCGTATCGACGGGAAATATGAGCGTTGCAAAGATTCAGTCTGCAACGACATCCGGCGGTTCGTTTACAGATGTCACAGACGCGGCGCTTGCTGATGGTGTGATTGACACAACCAACGATACGCTTTACGCGATCGAGGTTGATCTGACTGACAACAGCGTTGGGGACTTCTTGAAAGTCGTTCTCACTGAGGATAATACTGGGTCAGCCGTCATCGGATGTACTTGTATTCTCTCGCGTGGTTCTAAGCCTCCAACGACTGCTGCTGGTCGTGGTATGACTGCTGAATCATTTGCCTAAACTCATCATCCTCGGCTGGAAACGACCGAGGGTGCTTTACTTAAACGAAGGGATTCCCGCGATGAAGTGGATAAAGCTTAAACGAGATACATCATTCGGAAAGCGTGGTTCTGTTACTCAAGTTTCCGAGCATATCGCAAAGACCCGCATTGCATCCGGCCATGCCGTAGCGTGCCCAGCTCCGAAAAAGAAGGCGGTTGTTGTGCCTGAGCCTGAGAAGGTAGTCGAGGTCGAAGAACCGAAAGAGCCTAAAACACGAACAAGACGGAAACGCACCAAGCCCGACAACAAAGCCCTAAGCGCTTCGGAGTAAGTCAATGGCGATCATTTCCACAACCGAATATAAAGCGTGGGCGGGGATCACCGATACCGGCTTCGATACACGGTTGGATATCATCATCCCCGCGACACAGGCGGTGCTTGAGAAGTATTGCGGGCGTGTGTTCGATGAGACAACTTACACCGATCGGGTGTATGACGGCAACGGCGAATCGAGCATCTGGCTTGAGCATACGCCGGTGTCTGATGTTTCATCGGTCAAGCTGCTGGGTAGTGATGGGACGACAACGACGCTCTCGGCCAGTTCGTACCGTTGGTTGACGACGGGCGAGATTTACCGGTTCGATGGCGCTGACAATCGCTGGGACTACCCATCGGGGTTTGTCAACGATCGAGATTCTGTATGGAGCGATGCCGCGCCGGGGAACATCCTCGTTTCGTTCACGGGTGGGTTCTCGACAATGCCTGCGGATCTCAAGCACCTGATGTACAAGCTGGTTGATGCGGTGATTGACGGTGCGGGCGATTCGTGGGAGAACGGGTCAACATCGGACGGTGTGGAGTCGAAAACCGTTTTGAATCCGATTGATCACGAAAAGCGCCTTGCTGACCTTGCGAGACCCTGGAAGCGGGTGCTTGCGTGAACTTCATCAAGCCCGACAAACCGGCCAAGCTCCGAGGTATGCGGGGGATGATGACGATCACGACTTATGCGGAATCGCAGGATGCGAACGGGGCGTATATTCGTGGTGCTGCAACGAATGTGCTGAATGTCCCAGCACGCCTAGATGTCGTTTCTCCGGGCGAGGCTGTTCGGATGGGACACGACTCGGATGAGACCGTGTATCGTCTTAGATGCAATGTGAGGTACCAAGACGGGTCAGATATACGCATCACGCACGATCAGGTGCTGACGATCACAAGCCCTGAGTTCCCAAGCGGTGCGGCGTTCCGTGTGATTGGCCGCGGTCAGCCGATGGGTCGATCTGGATTCCAGAATGCTGTTGTTCGGAGGGAAGCACAATGAGCGTGACTTGGGACGACAACACGGCTGAGTTCTACGGTGCGGTTGATAAGGCCGCCGAGTCTGGTTTGAAGGCTTCGACGCTGGCGCTTGAAACGAAGATGAAGCGTTCGATGATTGCGGGCGAGATGACACCCGGTACTGGCGGCTGGAAGAATCCCCGCCTAACTCCGTCGCTTCCCGGAAACCCACCGAATCAGCAGACGGGCGGCTTGTTTCGCTCGATCACCAGTGGAAAGATTCGCCGTTTGGTCTACGCTGCGGGCACGCGCGCGGGTCATGCGATGACGAAGGACGGGAAATACAACTATGGGCTTCTGTTGGAGCGTGGTACATCCGATATGGCTGCTCGTCCGTGGGCTTTGCCCGCTCTGAACAACAACAAGCCCCTGCTTCTACGCGAGTTCGAGCGTGGTTTTCAGCGTTCATTCAAGAAAGCGGGTAGTTCATGAGCTTCAACCCGTTTCAGTTTGAGCCTTCAATCCTTGCCCGCTTGCAAGCATCGCCGATCAGCGACGCGACACAGGGCGCTTGGGACACGGTTGCACCGCCGAGGATCAAGATTTCAGCCGGGGGCGACCCGTTTATCGTGTTCTTTCTGGTGAATGGTTCGTTTGAGGGGATGACATTCGAGAACAACATCGCCAGCGCTACCTATCAGGTGAGCGTGTTCGATCACAAAGCCAACGGGATAGTCCCTGCTACGGCGGTGGTCGGTCAGATATTCGGTGATTCCGAGGGTACGGACAATGAACCGACCTACGGGCTTGCTCGATGGAAGATACCAGCGGTGACAGACGCGGCGACAGCAATGATGGTACCGGAATCGTTCGGCACCCAGCACACAGACGACGAACTTCACTACTGGATGACATTCTCAGTAGAGATTCAGGAGGCATGATATGGCATTCGTAGTAGGATTAGAGGGTTTGTTGAGTGCGGCGGGTACGACCGATCTTTCGTACCTGATCAACACTTCAACCAAACCGTACTCGGCATCAATCACGGTGAATCGTGAGTCGTTCGATTCAACGGGTTTCGGCTCAACACCACCAATCGCGATGAACAACATCACAGGCGTGTCTGATTGGGGCGGTTCGTTCACGGCCAAGTTTCCGAAAGCATCGCCAGCGAGCGGACACGAAGGGCTTGTGACTTTCGGGAGCGGGTATGTGCTTGGGTGTCGCGCGTGGTCGATCACGGCGACGGCTGCGGAGCACGAGGATACAGGGTTCGCTTCAACGCCTCCAACTTGGCGCGACTACTCAAGCGGCCTGTATGGGTTCACGGGTACATTCGATGTACAGGTTGACGATACGACAGCGCTGGCCGGAATGACCGAGGGCAACGCGACATTCCGACTGAGCACCGACACGAACGACAACGAGCTTGCGGGCTACATCCGAATCACTGGCCGATCAACTCCGTTTGAGGTTGGCGGAAAACCGATCGTTCAATACTCGTTTGTTGTTGACGGCAACTTGACGACCGACGGCGACGGCTCATTCCTCGAGGTCGCGTCTGCTGGCAC